ACTCACTCACTCACTCACTCACTCACTCACTCACTCACTCACTCACTCACTCACTCACTCATCAGGCCTCCCGCCCAGACACCCACTCTCTCTCCTTATATCTATCAAACGATCTCTGTGCGTGTGTGTGGATCTGTCTGTCTGTATCTCCCAGCAGTTTTACTCATCTCTCGGGATCAGCGGTGGACAGCTTTTCTTACGACGGCACAATGCATACTTAACGTCTATTCACGGCAAACGCGCTTATATGCATCGACCTACACAAAGCGAAAATGCACTGAAATGTCGCCGCAGTGCAATGCTGACTAGATCACGCGGTCCTGCGAGAACGCACGGGCAGAACGCACGGGTAGATCGAGCAAATACGAACGCAGTGCTCAGTAATGGTCGAGCGGCAGTGACTACGCGCTCTGCGCCGCAAAAACACAAAGAGAATCCTTCAGATGCGGCAAAAGGTACGTTTACTCGTGCTTTCCCCGCCTTCCGGCATTGTTCAGGGCTCTTTACCCGCGTTCAAACCTAACGGAGTGCCATTGAGCCGCTAGGCACGACGCTTGCCGGTGGCATTCCTGTTGACTTTGCGCCTTCTTTTCACCTATCGACGATTCACGTCTGCTGTCAACGTATAAAAAATACGAACTCTCGAAAGACACACGAAGGGTAACGTGGACGTAAGGCATCTCTTAATGGAAACCTTTAACGATGACATGATAAGGGACTGTAAAAGCAAACCGGGAGGCTCCAATAATTATGCTTGTCGAATAATGCCATGGGATCCTGGCACAAATTGACCGAAATTCGCCGTGCGTGAGTAGTTTGTCCCGTGTTCGCATAATTTAATCCGTCTGTTCGTACGTGTAAGCACATATTCAACATAGAAATCTTCATTCATATTTTAAGGTTATAGAATTTTCCTCCGAGTGAAAATCAGCAAGCGGAAAACCACCATGGGACTATTGATATTGTCGGGAAGAGCGATTTCTGAATACGTCAAAACAATCGGGCCTGTTGCTGAATCCGAACCCGAATAATGCACCCGCACTGTATACCCACGCACAGCGTCTAATAGTCTACTAATAGCGACCAAACACAAAATTCCTACATTATGATCATGTTTACTATAGACCCCACTTAATGAGAACAATACATGACGTTAAATGAAGCGCGTTGTTGGGCGTGTACTTGTGCTCTCATGCAAATGAGCATTAGACAATTAAGCAGTTAAGCAATTAAGACATCACGCGTATAAAAAATTACGATACCGATCACAATTTCACATCGAAGCTAGACTATCACCTGAGATCACCCAACAAACGAGCGGTTTTTATTGACGTGGATGAAGTGATGAAATTATTAACAAAACAAAAATATTGCTGATCGATTACCTGCACAATATGATTGCCGATTGATTATTTGGTTGGCCGGCTGAAGAGCCTCAGCTGGACCAGATAGTCTGTGTGAGTTCTCTGACCCCATTTACACGCATACGAATAAGTAAAGATACATGTTGAAGCTGCAAAATTCCTGGGTAATAGTATTCGTATTTTTTTATCGACGCTGGTGCCTAACGCTTGATCACCGTGACGATAAATAAACGGCCATTAAGGATAACTATATGACGAAATAGACACGCTTCGTTGTTCGAGCAAAAGTGCGCCACGCTACGCTTAAGCTAAAAGGTATAATTAGATTAATTAAAGTAAATTAGTTTAGTTATAAACTAATTACCTTGAAAGCACGGGCTATTAAGAATATTTATGAACACATCAATATTATCTAAGCCGTAGCATGACAGATGCCAGCTTCATAGTAGCGCACAGTTATAGTAAGCGAGTTGTTTCGTGAAAATTGCGGTATAATTTTTAGTGTTTTAACTGGTCAGAGAACTGGCCACTTGAATTTCACGCGGATAAAGTTTCAGTCACGAGGATAATGCAATTTGAGTAACTCGAAATGTCTGTAATTTTCTCGATGTTTCTAATACTGGAAGTTTCGATGTCCACGCCAAAGCTGATTACATATCGTCAGCTATATATTGAACGATAATACAGTTTCCGGATATTATTCCTAAACGCCGTAGTTAAATACGTTTGATCGATAAAACTACACGTTGTCAGTGAGTCGAGTTTATTGGAAACGATGTGAAGATATATAGAGACACGAGTGGTCGTACAAATTTATCATGGGCTGGCTGTATGTAAATAGAGTGACAATACCTTATTGCGATTTTCACCCCTACATCTTTATAACAGATATTGTTCTTTGAGAAATTCGTTCAGAAGCCTGTGCAAATAAAGTAATATCATCTTGGTAATATGGTATATCGGACAGTCTATCATCTAAGAAGTCGCTAATAATACGTTTCTCAATGGAAAAGTCAGTGCGTCTTGTTGATAAATCGATCGGTCGGGTATTTGTAAAAATGTATTTCCAGAAAAATAGAAAACAGTCATAACCAGCTTATATATTGCTGTTATACTGTATTTATTAATTACTGTATTATTACTGTATTATATTGTATTAATTATATGCAAAAACGACAAACGTTTGAACGATTTTGTGGCAATCCAAAATATATCCTAACATATAGTGGCATTAGCCGATAGGTGATGCATATTTTGATACGCTCGCATTTTACAGTGTGAAGGCTCCAACGGCAGAAAATTTTAACTGTCAGCAATTCACGGTTACCTTTTTTATTGTACGTAATCTTCTCTGCGTATGAAGCTTAGTACTTTATAAAAGGGAAAGTAACGGTGAAACGCTGATGATTTTATGATGTAAGTTTGGAAATTACGATCGAGTTATTAGTTAGCAAATAACTAACTTTATTGAGTTATAAACTGGGCAGTGCTACAGGACTAATGCAGTTTAACTCATTAACTAACTAATTACTAAATAACTAACTAACTAACTAACTAACTAACTAACTAACTAACTAACTAACTAACTAACTAAC